GAGTGTTTTACATGGAAATGGGTTCAGTATTGAAAGGCACCAGTGATCACAAGTAGCAGTATGACCCAGGAGTGTCCAATTTGATACCGGAGAACAGAAGTCTTGCCACTCAGATCCATGTATCCATCACCGCACGCACTGCCTTGTCCAGCTAGGCTAAGGCAGCATATGGTCAGTGAGGTAGTTGGGATTACAGTGGTGTCTCGGGCTTCTATGATGTCAGTCAGTCAGTCAGTCGTGGAGACTATGGCAAAGATAGAGATGATAGTAAACAGTCCTGAGGTTTTTCATAAATTTCAGCTGATTCTGATTTTGTCTATTGCTCCCCGCGCTCTCTCTCTCTCTCTCTCTCTCTCTCTGTCTATCTCTCTCTCTCTCTTTCTCTTTCTCTCTGTCTGTCTGTCTCTCTCTCTCTCACTCTCTCTCTACATGAATAGAAAAAAAATGTTGAAACATGCATGTACATGTACATGTATAAGAATGAGTGAAGAAACAAAATAATGATATAATCTCAAATTAACATTTATAGCAAACAAGAAATAAAATCTTATGGCAATGTGAATAGCCTGGCATACTGTCTGATATGGGAGTATGTGATAATGGCATTTTACCAAATCTATAGACATTAGACAATGCAACAATGTATTTAAGCTTATCTGAAGAATTGATTTTCCTAGAAGTCTTGTCAAAGTATGGACAAATATAATATATGTAGTTAATTCCTGTATTAAATTTAAGAAGAGAAGGAAAGCAAGTACGTGCATACTATTAGAAATTATTAGAAGAACCCACATCCCCCCCCCCCCCCCCAAAAAAAGAAGATAAACGATTATAATGATAAGTGCAGTGAAACTTATTCACAAATATTGAAGGGGAAATGAAAGGCATTTCATTTTTTTTTTAAATAAAAAATAAAGGATAAATAAGACAAGAGAAAATAAGTGCTAAGAAAATCTTATTAAAAAATGTCCAGAGACAAACCATTAAAAAAAAACAAGTTGAAGAGGATCCATTTGACAGGTTTTTTTTTTTTTTGGGGGGGGGGGTTTGGGGGTTAGATAGTATCGATAAATTCAAGAATACAGTTGTCGTATTTCACATATGTACTAGGGATGATTTTTGTTTTCTCTCAATATACACATATACTTCACTGGCATTGATGCAAGCATAATCAACGCTTGTAATACCCTGAACAAATATTAATGAGGTTAGAAAATTTAACTTGGGTTTTATTTATTTTGATATTCATACAGCACTGATTTGGTCTTCATTTTGATATCTGAATGACAATCCGAGTGATGATATCCATTAACTCTTAGTATTGCATTCATTATAGTTTATATATAGACTATTAATGACTTTTCTCACCTCACACCTGTAGTGACGTTGAGAATAATCAATAATTAGCACTAGAGAGCTAAAAGCATATTCTCGGATGTGGTTCTCAAGGCAGTGTTGCAATATATTGATATTCTATTATTGTATGGCATTGACTTCATCATATTAATGAGAATGGTGAGAACGCAGTCGTGACTTCTTAGCGTATTCTCGGATGTGGTTTTCAAGGCAGTGTTGCAATATATTGATATTCTATTCTTGAATGGCATTGAATTCATCATATTAATGAGAATGGTTAGGATGCAGTCGTGATTTCTTCACGATGAACGTGAGCAAGGTAGAATCTTTCTGTGTCAACAACATCAGCTAAAAGCAGATGCTTGAAACTAAAACTGGCTGTCCTCCTTCCTATTTTGGATCCCGACTTGAGGCTTACTGCGTAGGCAATGCGTGGTTTGCCTACATGATACAATGGAAAGGTCACATCTCATATAACTGCATTTATCCATCATTGCCTCAAGTCTTGGATGTCTGGATCATATATTCAGGTGAAACTGTACACCCAGAACACCTGCTACAACAACATCATCACCAATAATTGATGATGTCATAATAAGCAGGAATTAGGCCTTGTGAATAAAAGAGTATTGTCAGGGTTTTGTAGATATTTGTAAATCTTTATATTTTCAATCAGAGGTTGTATGCTACATTCCCTAAAATAGGCCCTATACATTTACCTCTACACATCTACCGCTCCCCCCGCCCCCTTCCCTGAAAAATGAAATGTTAGGCATACATACTTCCATTATTCCAGTCATGAGCAAGAAAAATGTCATCGTAACCATCATCATCACTTTTAGTGTGGGAGAAACAGAGTTCTATCCTTTGATACTTCAATATATGAAGAGGCGCGTTAGCTCAGTTGGTAGAGGAGTGGTCTTGTATTCCGACAACCCGGGTTCGAAACCAAGTCGATGTGCAAGTGCCCTTTGGTAAGGCATTAAGCCTCATTACCAGGTCCTTCAGAGAGGACCCTGAAGCATTCGGTCCTCTAGTTGCTTAATTACAAGCATTTATGTTTTCTTAGCAGTCAGGTAAAATAACAACCACACACACTCTAAAATCTAGTCTTGTGCTGGTTCTTTTTTTTTTATGTATGCTTTCTTCGGCAAGGATACGCTTCAGTATTTTTGTTCAAAGCCCTGTAGTATGATCCACTAGCAACAGGCATGCAATAACTCTCAATGAACTTAGCCATTGTTCTCGGAACAAAGATGCATTTTAACAAATGGATGACAATCATGAAGTCTTCATCAGCGGTAGATATGAACACACTGTTGCTCCACTACTCCTGCAACAATAGACCGGTTTACTCACCCATCCAAATTGTATGCATAATTTCTAAACAAAGGGTTGTTCAGCATGAAAGCTTGCACAAGGCTAGTCTAACATAGCAACAAGTAATGTATGCAAACTGGATTCCAAGTACAGTAGTTCATTCATCAATAACAGAGTAATGAGATAAGTTGTCACAAGGTCCTCAGGAAATTAAGAAACATCCACAATTTTAAATATATGTTATTTAACCGGTCTCTTGCTCCATGGCAATTTGTTACACTCATCAAATTCTTCCCTTCAACCCTTAAACTCAACACTATTCGTAATCCTAATCCTAACCGTAAACCTAATCTGCAACCCACTTGCGAACCTAGTCCTACATATTTTTGAAGAAATAAAGCTGTGGAGCAAGTGTCACCGGAGCCAATGATAGATCACTGAATATACCGAATGATGAATGTATACTGTATACTGTATATTTGGTAAATTATCATATCCATCTGGCCTGGATAGATATCCCGTAGTCCCATATACACCTTTCTGTGTACAGTGCTTGTAACTTTACCAAGACTGGGCCAAATTTCTTATCAATTTGATGATTCCAGAACCTTGCAGTACACACCAATACTTACATGCTACATGATCAACCTTTTCTGATCGATTCCACAACGTTTCTTTCACAATGCAATCGCATGACCATAACTGGTCTATACCTTTGAAATATGAGGCGAAAACATTCAAACTTTGTTGAGACATCTCTATCAGCTGAAGATATGAATGTAGGGGATAGGGATGACATAAAAAGGTAAGTTATAGATTGTAAATCCATGTCATTATGTGATAGGCTAAGTATTTTGTAATATAATAATTTAATATTTGTGTGTTCCATTTACATATGTTTACAAGATGTTAATCAGGCTATCAGGTGAAGATATGAACATATTAGATGAATCTGGAGTTACATGTTTTTGTTTATTTTAAAAATCAATAGAAGATATGACTGCCCTAAATTATAAAAAGTGGAAAATATCAAATCTAAGTAAAACATGTCAAAGAAAGCCATTGTTGATCATGAAATTTGTTGTACCACATGATACATCTATTTTTTTTTTTTACAGTTTTCATGAAGATAATGAACAGAAAGAAAATTGAAAAAGGAAATGGAAGTATTTTGTTTCAGTTTATTTTTTGCTAAAAATACAGTCTGAGTTAACACGAACAAAATTTAACTCCAATGTGGACACCAGGGCCGATATTGGCCAAGTCATTTCAGCAATGTTGTCCCGTACAATATAATTGAGATGGAAAAGTTTTGCTTGGATTCTCTTACTTTCCTGTACAAATAGTAATATGATATAAAGGTTGTGAGCATAAACTTCAATTGCCAAGAAAATCACATTCGTCTGTGTCCTCTAAGATATATTTTAATTTCAGCTCTATATTACCAAGAAAGAGTAATTTATAGTTGGTCGTCATACATGTATCTTCATAGGGCCCCCTGGTAGTACTTTACTATTACCATAAAACAAATCTTCTCTGCTGATTTCTTTTCTTTAAAGGTTAGATATTGTCTTAATGTCCTGTACAACTTTTACGTTATTGCCCATTTACATGTACATGGAGCTGAATGATTGAGAGCACAAGAGTATTCAGCCTACTTGTTCTTCTGACGAGTTCTGTAATGGAGAGATATTGTTTTTGTTTATTTAGTCTTAGTACAAAGTGTTGCTGCATGAAAAGAGTGTTGAAGAAAAGTATGATCCATGTTTAAAGGCATCGTTTAAAGGCCCACTGCACTACTGGTAGCTACTTGCGCCCTCTATATAACAAACAATGCCTAATCGGTGACCATTGGTCCCCCATGATCCTCTTTTTCTTATGTTAACTGAGAGCTGAGTTGATGAGATAACCATCTGTCCAGTGACCTTGCAGAGCGGTCTAATCCCTCCTGTAAACTACGGCAGATAAGCTTTAAGAAGCTTTAAAAAAATTCGCTTTAAAATGATCATGAAGTGCCTTTAAAAAAGTGAAAATCTTTGAGTGACCGGTTTTACCATGGACTCATTTTCCCCAATAGCCTGTAGTGTAATAAAAACCATTAGGAAAACAAAAAATGAAATGTCTACCGTATTTCCAATCATAAATATCTTGATCATCAGACAGGCGATCGACTTGTAAAAGTCATGGGATTACTGACTGACCTAAAGGTTTATAATTATGATTGCAGCATGAGCTAAATCCAGGATTTTGTTTCAGAATCTGAGGCAATGTTACAGAGTCACTTTAAGATCTATTGTTCTCTCTTTGTTTTGGTTTGATTTCAGTCAGCAGCCGAGTGTATGGAGGTTGACTACACAGTGTGGATGTAGGGGTGATAAGACCAGCTCGGTCTATCAGCTCAGCTCAAGACCATTCATTGACAGTGTCATCCAAACAACAGGTGCGTTAAACACTCCTTGTCATTCAGATTATGCCTTGCACAATCTTACAGGAAGAAATGTTAGAAGGAACAGAGAGATTATTATCATATCATTATTATTGTTGTTGTTGTTTGTGTTGTTGTCGTCGTTGCAGAGCTGCCAAAAACCATTTTTTCCTGAATTATTTTGTTTTTTTCCTCCAAATTACGGTAGTATGTTTTTCCTTCATAAAAATACATTTTTTCATAATTTTTTTGTTTTATTTTGTTTTTGTTTTTTCCGCACGTCAAACAACTGCCTTAAAATGTTTATTTGATCACAAATTCAATTGAAAACTAAGGTTAAAACATACTTGAAGAGAAAAATATTCTCAAAAAGAATGAAACGCCGATAATACCAAAATACCACCCCCCAAAAAAACCTACTTGTAAATAAACTATAGGTCCTAATATGGGAAAAAAACAGCATGAGGAATGGACATTTCTGTTTTGTGCGTGGTTGTTTCGTTTTAATGAATTCCTTTTTTTCGCTTGAAAATCATTTCTTTTGGCATTAAGGTTCCTTTTTTTGGTCGCACAAGTTTGGCAGCTCTGTCGTTGTTATTGTCGTCATTGCTGTTGTATATTGGTTAAGGTGATTTTGTGGTAGGTCTAAAATAGACTATCATGTTCTAATGTATTTTTGTAGGAGAAAAATGAGGTAATAAAAAAAAAACATTTATGCACATGTATATTCTTAGGAGGTTTGAGTATGTAGTTGATAGCGCAAACACTTAACAAACACCATTCTTAGGCGGTGTCACACAGACACCGCCTATAGACCAGTTCACGGTTAGCACCTTACTGCAATGACCCCGAATATCCACAGATCTTCAACACATGAAGAGGTCCCACTTTGTACATTTTGAAATAATCACTCCTACAGCGATGGAGGTGCTTTATAAATAGCCTTTGTTCCCCCTTTTCAAAGAATACTTCCACCTGTGTACAATGGAGTGCAATGAATGTGCATGAATGAATAATGTTACATAACTTTCATGAGCACGTATCCAGTATTTCGTCTCCGTGTATTTCAAAATTTGTTCTGCAATGACCTTTATCTGCTCATGCTCAGACTGTAACCGTGAACTGGCTTATTGATAACCTCATTTTACTTTTGGTAGGTCAATGGTTTTTGTTTACTAATCTTCAGTTGTTTTTGTGTCATGAAGCAGCATTACTTAAACTAGAAAATAAGAGTCATGTAATATACTTTACCTCACCTTTAAAAATAAAGAAAGTCTAGATTTTTTCTTATAAGACTTCCGTTTTTCTTATTATAAAACAGACTTCAGTTTTTCTTAGGTAACTTTTTTTTTGGAGTCCATATGATTGTATGAGAAACACCTAGGATGACATTTTATTACAGTGAATTTAATTGTTCTACCTCTTCAGACTAAGTGTTGGGTGCTACCGTTAAATTGAATGACTTTCAATCATCGTGCTTTGGTTTCTAGAGGTTCAGACAGTTCAAGTATTTCTTCAACCATAATTGGTTTTCATTGTTACAAACCCAGCCATGATTACTCTCCTAGACATGCATTGTTTTATATTTCATTGAAAATACCATCAAAACAACTTTTTCTTCTTCCTGATTAATCAAAGGTCCTTCATTGCGTAAAACATGACTTATACAAGTTGACTCTCAGAGCGTTCAAGATAATTCAGTGATACAATAAACAAAAGAAATAAAATATGGAATTAGAAAAAATGTGTAGAATAGTCTATTTTTTCCGGCAGGGTAGTTGTAATAAATACCATGTTTCTTGAAAGAGGTAAACATGGTTATGATGTGGGGTGGGGAGCTGGGCAGTTTTAGGTTTACAGCAATTAAAGACTGCACAGCATGCAAGTACATGTAAATGTACCATTTTACCTAAATATATATAGGTGGCAATGTCTAAAACAAAATCAAAAGTGTGATTAAAATTAGATTATTTTCCATAGTGTATGCAAAAACTAGAAAGTAATGTATATTTCTGACAGAGGGAGAAAGCATCAGTTCTTTCAATATGCCTGTTTTTAACAACAAAAAGGTGAAAAAGAAAAGAATTAGTGCAAGTTTTCACTCGTTTCATGGTCACCTGACAATTTTGAATGTTCCATCAACATCAATGAATCCTCATTAATTACCAGTATTCTATAAGACACACACCATTTGGTCTTCTTCCCAAAGTCAAGGCTGTACTCTTTATTTCTTTACCCTTGCCAAGTCAAGATGAGCAGTAATGCACTAATGAACCCTATGTGAGCTTTAGATTGTATAATGGGCTTTTCCACTAGTCTAAGCAAATTGAAGCTTGAGAAATTAGACTGATTATAGCAAAGGTGCAGCACCCTGTCACCATTAGCCCAATATGCCTTTCAATAAGTCACCCTACAGTGTACATCAGAAATGGTCCAACATTTGTCCCAGCATCAATTGCACTTGGCTTTAGGTTTAGGGTTACTGTTGAGTTTTAGGTTAGCATTAGGTTTAGGGTTTAGGGTTTGGTGTTGGACCAGGGTAAGGTTTATGGGTCAGGGTAAGGTTTAGTGTTGGGCCAGGGTAAGGTTTATGGGTCAGGGTAAGGTTTAGTGTTGGACCAGGGTAAGGTTTAGTGTTGGACCAGGGTAAGGTTTATGGGTCAGGGTAAGGTTTAGTGTTGGGTCAGGGTAAGGTTTAGTGTTGGGTCAGGGTAAGGTTTAGTGTTGGACCAGTGTAAGGTTTTACTGGGTCAGGGTAAGGTTTAGTGTTGGGTCAGGGTAAGGTTTATGGGTCAGGGTAAGGTTAAGTGTTGGGTCAGGGTTTTAGTGTTGGGTCAGGGTAAGGTTTAGTGTTGGATCAGAGTTAGGTTTAGTATTGGGTCTAGGCTTTAAGTTAGAAATTCAGATTGTGCCGGAGATTAGTATAGAACAAAAATGTACCAGGAGCAATGTAGTAGAATCACATTGGATGTTAAGATTGAGCAGTATGGCAGATGTGATGCAAAAAAACAAAATGTCTACGTATGTAAACGATGGCCTCACAATCTATTTGTTTTAGAGAAACAGAACATATCATATACGTCATAGTCTAACTTCATCTTCATTATAAATTAGCCCTTTAACCTGCTTTTTTTTAATGGGCTATTTAACAAACAACACCAACTGTATATTTAGGAAAGCTCTCGAGCTATTTTCATAAATTGCATCAGTGAAGTTTTCACTGCATATTAGTCAGTGTTTGTCAGTTTTCAGGCCGATTTCTCCCGCTTAGAATTAGCAGACTTCTTGGGCTAATGTGAACACATATTTATAAGCTGTGTGGGAAGTAAAGCACACTAGGCATTAAATGGAACTCTCTATCCAATGAATAATAATGTTGATTGCCTTACTCTTCTTTCAACCATACCACGGGTGGGAGCTATTTGAAGACCATTGACACTGAAGAAAAAAACAGCCTAATTTGAAAAATGGGCAGTTTTTAAAACTACCGTTTACACAAATGGAAAAACCTGTATGAAACCTTCATTGTTTGCTTACCATCAAAACATTCAGGTATTTTGGTGAGGGGTGTGTATGGGCACACAAGTTATCACTACTTTGCATGTGCTTGCGAGGAAGTGAGCACATACAGGACTAATTCACAGTTGTTTTGAGAGCAACCGTTCACACATAATATATGTTACAAAGATCGGTGGATTAAACAAAATATGAAAAGTCCAGAGGGGTTTTTCTTCTTCCTGCTTATCTTTTTCATATTTATGGGTAGTTGCTTAGCTTTTTCTGTCAAAACAATGACTTTGTCAGAAAAACCCAGGGTTTTTACTTGCAGTGTAAAAGCCCCCCTTTAGAGTTAAGACCATATTTACCATGGGGAGTGTGTGGGTGGGTTATATATGTTATGTAGCTAGGGTGATAAATACCTTCAGCTGAAGGGCTTCCATTTTCTACACTCCATTGACCTATGAGGATTTCTTGTGTAGAAAGAGTTGTGTAAGGCTTTCATAAAATATGGCAGCTAGCCTTTGTGTTTGCATGGTTGGCTAATATTGAAGTGGTAAAAGATATTTTTGAAAATTTTCTCATTTTCAAAAACATGTTGTGAGTGAATCCTTAAAAAGACTTCTCTTTTAAGGATTGATTTATAACCATGACGCTTCAAACTTAATCCTTTCAATACATTACTCAGAAATCCTTACATTTTTTGAGAGATCATATTTTTATTTCTTACAAGAAGTTTTCCAAACTTACAATCAAAAGATTTTGATTACTGTTTAAACAATGAAGTACAATATTTGGAATTCCTTAACAAGAACAAAATTTTTAGAGGAGGGAAAATGACTGTAATCAGCTGGGAGATAGCCCTGATCTACAGGTATGTCCTCTCCGTACAGCTCTCAAATTGACTTGCAGAAATGGATTTGAATTTGGAAAGAAAACAAATTGTTTACAAATTTGAACATTTTTTTTTACTGTAAAGAAAAAATTCACTCCACTTTTTAATCTGATTTCTTGTGTTAAATTTGAATTTTTAGGATACATTATCTCATAATTTATTCTCTTATATTCCCTCCAACATCTACCAAGTCAATTTAAAGACAATTTTACTTCAAAAATTGTAATACAGCTTCCAGTGTTCATGTACATGTACATGCAATAAAAGCAATCACCATATGAGATCATCTGGTCAGAGCCAGGAGGGGGTTAAATCTGTGTTAGTACAAGTTAATACCCTTCTGGCTCCAAACAGATGACTGCTATTCTCAGAATAGAATTGAATTGCTTGTGCTCTCTTTCCCTGAAATGCATTCAGTATTTTTTTTTTGTACAGCTTCTTAGGAAGAGATTACATGATGTAAGATGAACCATGAACTAGGTACCTAAATAACATTCTGACTGACGCATTTCCTTTGGGTGTTGTTCGCTCCTAAATGCATCTGACCTTAGCTATTCATGGAAGCAGTCATTACGACTACCTTTATTCTAAAAATTGCATGTTTAGGACTTTGCCATTAAAGAATGAAAGGGAATCGGTCACTGAAAGAGGTTATGTGCTCATTGTGTTCGGGATTCCATTTTGGTAACCTCTATTCAAATTTAGCTTTCAATATAAATTCTGTAAAGAGTTAATGCAAATTTTTACTCAGAAATAACCCTTGTAAGTAACATACATGGAAAATGATTTGTGGGTAGACAATTCCACAGACTCACATACTGTAACAATCATGGGAATTTTCTGATTGTTCATAGTTACCATGCAGGCCTAGACATGAAGTGGTTTTCTTCCCTTTGAATGCTCTCCTAACAAACCACATGCATTATTAAGCTAATATTCTATTGATTCTGTGATACAAAAAAACTTTTATTAACAGGTAGATAATACTGTGCCCAATGACTGATTGTGATTGAAAATATAAAAGTTATTTGGTAACTAAAGATAAAGGTGAGTTTTGGTAATGCGATTGCATTGTGAAAGAAAAGATGTGGAATAGATCAGAAACAGTTGATCATGTAGCATGCAAGTATTGGTGTGCACTGCAAGGTTCTGGAGTCATCAAAATCATAATAAATTTGGCCGAGTCTTGGTAAAGTAACAAGCACTGTACACAGAAAGCTATTTATGGGACAAAACACATGGTGTTGGGGCTAGTACTACCTTGATTTCCTTGTCTTTCTATGCTCATTACTCAGCCAGTATACATTTTCTTCCAAAATTGTTTGGCACATGTCATTTATTTGTAATCTTGAACATTCAGTGTAAGTTTCGTTTGATTCTGTGAGAATTAATTTTCTTTCTTTTACCAGAACTGGAGTTTATCTTTAAGCAAAACATACATGTATGTGTGATTTTGATAAGCAGAACAGAAATGTGAATTGCTAAATCATGGCTTTATTAAGTAGTCCCACATCCCTGTTGGTGATTTCCAGTACTTTTTATTTTTGTATTTCATTGCTTTACATTTTGTTGTATAACCGTATTACATCTTACTGATAGAAATACGGACAATGTAGGCTTTTTAATCCCGGCGTTATTATGAAACAACAAATCCGTACAGTAATAGTGACGGATTCGTCGTTCAAAATAACGCCCACGCCTTGATCAACAACTCAGACGACTTGCAGCACTTTATGAAACATTGCATATTTCCGGTAAATACCTTGAAAAAAACTCAAGTTTTTCTTTTAATGGCAGGAATCATACATAATACATGACATACAAATATTTGTGTAGCCTCTGTTTCAAAGTAATGGTACTCCTGATTGTGAAAAACAGTTATAACCAGAACGTAGAGTACTATTTTAGATTGAACCTCAATATTGTACCGCAGGTCTTTTCCTATTATTTCTTTGAAGGGTTTCTAGAACCTGAATGCTTCATCAACTCCCTTGAAATATTCGAAATAGAACCATTAGAAAGAGGATATTCAATGGGGATTGCTTTCTGCCTCTTCCTCTATGGTTACAGCCCACTCAAAAGTGTTGTTGTTGTTGTCTTTTTCTCTCTTTGAGACTTATCCTCTTCCCGTCCTCTTCTTTACCACTTGTGAGATGTATTCAGGTTGGGTAACGTACTGTAGGGGCACATAAAGACGCGTCCGGAATGCATATATAGAGACAATTGTAAAGAAATATGATCAAATAATTCATGTCATAGACAAAGAACCATAATACAGTTAACCCTGCATATCAACTCGAAATTACACAAGTCCAATTTTCCTTACAATGGACTGAAATATGCAAAACATATGCTACTGACACTTCCTATGACTAATTTTGCACAAGTCAAACTTTTGCAGTCCAAACAGATTTGACTTTGCTAAAGTTGAAGGGAAATCCAACCTTGATAACAAACTACTCTAGAGGAAAGCAGGAAAATCAGAGAAGTACACTGGTGAAAGTGTGAAAGGAATTGGACAAACAAATAATAACAAGTTATTTTTCTTTTTTAAAGTTGTAATCACTATAGGTGTGGGCTCTTCAAATTGGCTGAATTAATAATGTCTCTGTGATGTAGTGGCGGATAACTTTCCCATTTGTTCCAACACACAAAATAACACAAATTTCACAAAAATTATGACTGCAGAGGGTCTGTTCTCTTTAAGCCCCAGTCCCATATAAAGCCGGACCAGCACGGACGAGCACGGACCACTCCGGACCATCCCGGACCATGGTCTGGGGTGATCCGGGATGGTCCGGGATGTTTTGTTCAAAAAAAGTGTGATGCTTTTAAGCTACAGTCCCATATATGTCCCGGACCGTCCCGGATCATCCCGGACCCCATCCGGGGTGATCCGGGATTCGGTCCGTGTTGACACCGTGTTGTCACCGGGGTGGTCCTGGATGGTCCTGGATGGTCCTGGATGGTCCTGGGCGGTCAATAACTCACTCCCGGACTGCCACGGATCAACACGGACCGCCCCGGCGCCACTACGGATGACCCCGGACCCAGCACGGTGGCTACACGGATCACCCCGGATCAAACTATTGTCCCGGACCGTCCCGGACCACCCCGGCAGTTTTTGACCGTCAAAAACATCCGGGGTCGACTCCCGGACCGCCCAGGACCATCCAGGACCATCCAGGACCATCCAGGACCATCCAGGACCACCCCGGTGCCAACACGGTGTCAACACGGACCGAATCCCGGATCACCCCGGATGGGGTCCGGGATGGTCCGGGACGGTCCGGGACGTATATGGGACTGTAGCTTTAGAGGACCTATGATAATATGTTATCCACAATATATTTTGAATAGTGCCCCAAGGGAGAAGGCACTTGGGAGAAAACAGATATTAATTATATGTTTGTACTTAACAAACAGGACAGTAATCGGCGTCTTTGTCACAATCCACTGACCAAACTGCCAATTTGAGATTGGCATAGGCTTGGTGATCCCATATTTCAAATATTCATAACTTTTTCATTATTTGTCCGATTTATTTCAAACTATCGTAATTCTGTTTATCAGGTGAATGAAATAATTTGTTTTGAGGTACTTCACAAAGACTTATATATTAAATTTGGTTACATTATGAAAATGGCCTATTGCTGAATGGTTGAAATGTTTTAATGCTCATAGCTTTCTCTCTCTCTCTGTGTCTTCTTTCTCCCAAAGATATGGCCATAGATGATGAAGGTGAAGAACAGGAGCCATTCCACTACTTTGTGACACGGGTGAAAAGAGACTTGGAGCCATTTGTGCCTGTCAACAGTTTTGAGACCATCTAAAATGGAAACGTGTGAGAAGATATTGCTTGCTCGTAGAGCTCTTTCATCAAGTCTTCCTAAGTCGTTCTGGAACTCAAAAATTGTCTCATATTTTGAAGAAGGGTGCTAATGAGTTGCACTGTTGTCCTAAAAGCAGACGCGCACTATTGCGCTAAACACAGACATGCACTATTGCATTAAGCAGAAGGTCGTAAGCATTTAAATGCCTGTAACTTAAAAAATACCTGCTTATTTGATACACAGCTACTCAAATCGTGTAGTCACAAATTTACTATCGACTTTTTATTAGTTGATGAAGGGAGAAATTCCTGTCATATGACATGTATGGAGTAATCAAAATATTAGAAGTAAGTGATCAGGAATACATGACCTTGTGCCTGCAGCACGATGGATGAGTCGTATGCTGAGACATTGTAGTCAGCTAGAGAGGAGCTTCATTTTTACTTGGTGTTGACTGATGAGGGAATGACCATGAGAACCCCATTTCAGATTATTTTGAATGATGTCATCAAGGAATTTGAAGGAAAACTTCAAACTAGGCATCCTTTTTTACAACTTCAATTTGGGTGGGCAATGAAATAAAAATGGGTTCATGTATAGAGCTACAGAATTGCCAATATGTGTTTGATTGATCGCAACTTTAAAAAATCACAACTTTCTTATTTTCAATCAGATTTTGCCCAAACTTTCACTGATCTGACCATCTCATTTTTCTGCTTCTATTAAAACAAACTTAATATCAGGGTGGACTTTCCCTTTAAATACAGAGCCTATGCACTTATGCAGTATGATGTCAGGCTAGTCTCAAAGTGCAGGCACTACTATGTAGAAAGGAAGAACAAAGGATTGTGCCTGCAAACTACAAAAATAGCTTGGGAAAGGTAAAGTAATAGAATTATATGGTTCTGCTATAGGTTATATATTATGTGTAACATTAAATGTTATAGTCACAATTGTGTATGTAAGCTCTCATTGCTTTTGTATTTACTGTACATGACATTTTATTTGAAAAAATCAGGAGTACCAATCACCAAAACACGTTCTGTTCTCGATGCTATAGTGTAGTCTACTATGAGCTTCAAATATTTCTTCTACATAGAGACTCCTAGTGAACTGTAAAACACCTTTTATGTTTTTTGTGTTTTCCTTTCTTTACTTCATGCTCCTTAACTGTTTACCAGTAGAATGCCAGGTATATTTTTTAGCTTGATTTTATACATTCTACCTATACACAAATGATTTTTCAGGTAATTGGTAGCCTACACTTTAAGATTGGCTTCCTAATCAGACTTAATTAAAATTCCTGAAGAAGTTCAGCCAAGTCAGGAAATAAGTAAAACCATTTGAATAAAAAAAGGTGCATGAATAAAGCTAATATTTGCCATTTCAAATCTTGAGATAAAATTTTGCTAAGTGAAAAGTAAATAGCCTCATGAAATATTTCAATGTAAAATTGGGAACTTAAAGGTAAAGACCAGTTGTGGTCATGCGATTGCATTGTGAAAGAAACGTTGTGGAATCGATCATAAAAGGTTGATCATCTAGCATATAAGTATTTGTGTGTACTGCAATGTTCTGGAATCATCAAAATGATAAGAAATATGGCCCAGTCTTCGAAAATTTACAAGCACTGTACACAGATAGATGTATATGGGACTATACGCACACATGCGTTTATCTCTCACAGACCATGTAGATAAACTAATTTACCAAATATATCAATTAGTAGGCGGTTTCCCGGCAAATTTTTTATCATCATGTATTAGTCAAAACATATACTTTCACATGATTGGTAATAAGAGCTTCCATTTAACTTCAACAAGATTGTTACTGGATACAATATCAGATGACAATGAAATATGGTGCCCAGTGCCTGCAAAATCAGAGATGTGTAAGGTTTTTTCTATGTATTTATATGTTATAGTAGCAGTGACTCTTCATTCGTTCAGGCTCTATACATACATGTATATATAAACTAATAAATGTATTTAAATGTATTTAAATGTATTAAAGAAATATCTTGATGCTAATTATCTTTGTGTATGACTGGCATGTATTGTACATCTACACTTCTTTCCGACGGAGACGCCATTTTGACCACACAAGTAGGTAAGCAACCGTTTGATAATACGGTTTTAGAAAGTAGAGCAAAACACTTGAATAGGAAGCGGATCGTCTGCTATTTGCTCAATGAGTACGGAAAGATATCCCTTGTGGAGAAAATCAACATATATTGGGAAAGAACTAGCCTGATATCTGTAGGGTGTTCAGCACCCGAAACTAACTTGCCACTGAACAGTTTGATGCTTTTAAGTTGAAACCATCAACTTTTACGCTTTATACAATTACATTCATTTTTTTGTGTGTGTTCGACGTGCATTTCTTGATGAAGCCGTTATCTCTTCATATTCAGTAACGCATGAAATGAGCGTACAAGTCATTCTCCTGTTATTCCTGCCCCTTTCTCTTTTTATTATCAGAGTGGAAATGATAGAAATTTGGTTTATAATTCATTTTTTCCTCACTCGCCCGTTCCTTATAATGCCGTCATTTTCTAGTTCACTTGGCTTATTGGCGAGTGGCATTTTGATGCACAACCAATTTGTATCGATTGCTCCAGTTTGTACTGTAAGTGCATGGTATTAAGCGATTGAGAGAGGAGATGGAGGAAGGGGGAGACTTCTATAGACAAGGAGAAAGACGAGAAACGAAAGAGGAGAGAGAGAGAGAAGGAGATAGAGAGAAGGGGGTGGCTGTTGCGCTTTTCAACCATGATCACGTTTTCTTTAACTTCCGGAAAAGTTTCAAGCTTGCATTCTATACGTTTCAATTCCGTTTTGAACTCTCCTTTTGAAATCGTAATGCAGTGTTTGTGAATATAAGCTAAGATGACAAATGCTGTAAATGTCATCCTTCGAAAGTGGGATATTTTCTTGCAATGAATAATCTCGAGTTGACTGTATATAAGTTGACACTTGACTTTCAAGCACGCAATGTTTATTTTCGAATTATTTGTGGTTTACTTTAATGCACAATACGTGAATTATACACGTTAATACAGTGTAGATCCCAGGTGACCTGGTAATCACGGCTTTTCAAACAGGCTCATTTAGCCTGTCAAATTGAAATCAAAAAACCTTTTCAGAAATGTCTTATTTATTATGGTAAGATTCTGTTTTTTACCTGTTGGATATTTCCCTTCCATTAAGAAACTAATCCACACGTCAGTACTGACGTCAAGTTTCCACCCACCTTGTTTATACATAGTCTGAAGCTCAATGAATGCAATTACAAACTTGACAAACATGATTAGCTTCCATACCCAAGTCACACCGGCAAGACAGACGACAAACCGAATAAAACTTTATATTACACCGTACTATTACCAGGAAGTGGTCAGTGTTTAATCGGAGTGCACTCGGTTTGACGATGTGACGGAAGCATAAGGCCTTAGTCTTGAATTTAAATATAGAGGTGCGTGGTCAAGTGGATAAAGGGAAATGTGAGTTGGTCTAGCGGCACGTTTACTCGGTCAGCTCTCTGTCTTAATTCGCCTACAAACTGGCTCAGGCGACCTCGGTTCAAAACTGAGTCGCGTCTTTCTTTCAGATGTTTTGGTTAAAGTTCGGTCCCCAGATGTAAATAATCATATCCGATTGATACACTTCTGTATCATGTAAAAAAAACACACACACACACACTAGTGGATATGTCACCGGACTGTGGATTACATGGTTCGCGGTCGGAGTCACGCCACGGTACAAGGCATTTCTGGTAAAGCACAACCCTCCACCCAGGTGTAGTAAAAGGTTACCCAGTAGGGATTTATTCTTTGAATGCCTTGAGCACCTTAGGGCAGCTGGGCTAAACCCATTTGTATAATACTGTAGTCTTTGTAGGCACCTTGAGCACCCCTATGCGATGGAGAGCTGTTATAAAACATCACAATGAAACATTGTTTGCAGGTCAAACTTGATCTCGATACAAATCTTGACCTCCAATTTGTTCAGCTCTTCAGCTACACTTGAAACGTGGTTGTTCCTTTGCCGTTTTTAAATAATTAATTAGGAGAAATCAATATACCATTTTGGAGTGCCCATTAGATTTAAGGTCTTGATAGGAAATTATTTCTACAAATAACATGAGGAAAGCGTGTTGCTGATCAGTACTTGATCTATAATGTCACTGTATAACACTGCTCTGGTATTATCATATTCGAAATGAATGATGTTAATTTTTTTTTTTTTTGGATGTATCTAAAAGGGCTTAAATCGACTCCCCCGTGCACCATTTTTGTTATATGACCTGTTTAGTGTTCTTACAAACAGTACCCAATGACAAGATATATAATACAGCTATTTCAAACGATTAATTTTCTTTTTTGATTGAACTTTTGCATGCATAGGCTCAGGCGCGTACGTTTTTTTTATGTGTATGTTTTTTTTTGGAGAAAAAAAACCCTTCTGAGTTTGTTTGTTTTTTAATTTAAAAAAAAAAAAAAAAATTATGCCTATGGATGACCTAAAAAAGGTGACCTTACCCCCCCCCCCCCAACAAATTTTCAAATTTCGAGACCAAAAAAAAAAAATGTGTCCTCTTACCCCCCCCCCCCCCGCTTATTCAGCGGCTGGCTGAGTCGTTGCGAAATTTTTGGCCCGATTTTAACCCCCCCCCCCCCTGAAAAAATCCAGTGTACGCCACTGCATAGGCTGTTGCGATGTCGGGCAACATTCAGCTTTTAGGTTGCCAAAAGCAATGTTTCTTTGAAATGTATGAATATAATGTAATTACATAACAAATAATACATCTTTTATTTTTATACAAAGAATAAAAATAGGCTCGTGTTAATGTGTTAAATAAGATAAGAGGGATATCCAATCCATTTCTTTTAAATGGGATTTTAGTTCAGTTCTTCCTTTTAAGGAGCAATGAATAGTATTTTCGAGTGCTTTTTGCAATCTAGCGTGAATGAAATTTAACGTAGAATAGAATCGCTAATGACGTGTGCCTGAAGCTCGAGCCTTTCTTTCTCTGCACTATCTAATAATAGATTCTGCTATCTGATACTGTTCGTATTATGAACCGCCAATTTTCGTCCTTATTTGCCTCGACACTGTAAGAATGCTTGAGCTTCAAAGAACACTTACGTTTCAAGGGCATTTTGGGATTAAAATTCGATCCATTAGAAAATATCGCCTTCACCGTCTCCCCCCCTCTCTTTCTCTCTCTCTCTCTCTCTCTCTCTCTTTCGCCCCCTCTCTCTCTCTCTATTTCTCTCTCTCTGTCTCTTCTCTTTAATTCTCTGTCTCCTTCACTTCCTTTCTCCCTCTCTCTCCCCGGTCTCTCTCTCTCTCACCCTTCCCCTCTCTCTCTCTCCTCTCTTTAACTCTCCCCCTCTCACTTCCTTTCCCCTATGTCTTTCCCCCTCTCTCTCTCTCTCTCTCCCTCCTCTCTCTGTCTCTCTCTCTCTCTTCCTTTTCTATTCTCTCTCTTACTTTTTCTCTGCATTTAAGAGCGAAATGAGTGTAGAAGCTTGATTCATTCTCATGGCTGAAATAACTTCATCACGCCTGAAGGACATCAACCTCGAGTACGATTTTAACAATCCGAAACCATTTACGAAAGCAAACACGAATGTTGT